TTGCCAGGCGTGGTGGTGCAGGCCTTTAATCCCAGCACTCAGGAGGCAGAGGCAGGTGGATCTCTGTGAGTTCAAGGCCATCCTGGTCTACATAATGAGTTTCAGGCCAGCTGGGGCTATTGGGAAACCCTGTCTCAAAAAGATAAAAAAATAAATAAATAACATATTCTCTGTTAGGCTCAAGTTGTGACTCCCCCATTCGCTACTTAACTTTTCTGTGCCTCCCTGTCTTCACTTCTCAGATGGGGAATCTACCTCACCAGGCTGACGTTGAAAGATTAAACAAGATCATACAGGTGGGGCACATAGCACCATCTCTGGCACACAGTAAATACCCATTGTTAGCAAAATTTGGTAGAGGCATCTCTGCAAGCCATACAATGTATGAATGTTAGCTTTTGTCAATAGAGAGCTGTTAAATACAACTCCAAATAAAAATGCCAAAGGAATGTTAAAATCTGAAAGCATTTAGCTGACGACACACACAGTTGAAATGCGGGGACTTTAAACAAGCTGTGCTTTGCTCTATTAGTTCACTATCTGCCTGGCAGTAATGTTATCTAGCTGTCTCTGTATTAGGTTTAAAAGCTAGTGATACTAATCTAGTAGGCTTATTCTCGGTACTGGGAATGCTTTATGAACATATTTGATCTTCACAGAAACTCTGAAGTAGGCATCATCATTCATTATGTACAGTTTATAGATGGGAAAACTGAAGCAGTCAGTTTGACTATGAAGCCCTCACAATCTCTATGATATATACCACAAGTGACCCAAGGGCCACAACTGATGTCCCACCCATTTTTACAAATAAAGTTTTGTTGGCACACACCCATGCACCTTCATTTACATATTATCTCTGATTATTTTTGTACTAAGACAGAGCTTTGTTACTGAAGACCCTATGACCCATCAACCTTAAAACAATATCTGGGCCTCTGCAAAACTTTGGCCACCCCAGATGTCAACTTTAAACTTCCCTTTTAGGCTAGAATTGGCAGAATAATAATAATAATAATAATAATAATAATACCATCACCTTGTTTTGGCACTTGCACTGTTTTTATATTATTTATCTCACTTGACTCTCATAACAATCCTGTAGGTAGTCTTTTTATTGGCTAAATTTAGAAATGAAAAACCAAACTAGATGACTAGATGGTAAACTCCATGAGTCTAGGGATCATGTGTTTTGTCATCATACCCTGTCATCTGCCTCGATGCTAGGGCAAAATGGATACTCAGAGATACTTGCTAAATGAGTAACAGTTGTATAGGTCACCCAGAGAATCCAGTTCTCCTATTCCAGGGCTCCACAGTTGCCCAGCTGTAAAAACAGGGACTTTCCCCTCAGATAGGGTGAAACAGAGAAGATTGACGTGTCATCCTGCTGTCAGTTGACAGTTTTGCTGCTGTATTCCTCCCCCTCTTCAGTCAAGGAAGAGAATTCCAAATGCTTTTTGTTTCCTCTGAAATGTACAGTCTGCAGAGGTTTCTTAAATGCATAGTCATGGCCTGCAGAGATTTCTTGTCCTTCCGATTGGAGCATTTTTAGATGAGATGAATACTGACACCCTCAGAAGCTAGTGGTCACATGGCCCCCATGGTTTGGATGGCTTTCCGGCTGAGTGCCAGCTGCCCCCTGCCTCACCTCCCACCCAGCGATGAGTCATAGTGTTCTGGGCTTTTGTTTCCTTTCATCTTGCTTTATACTAATCATGTGAGGCTTGGGGTATTAATAAACCATCAGCCTGGTCTTCTAGAGCCTACTGTTGGTCCCAGAGAAAATGAAAGGTTTGTGTTTTTCTCTTCTCTGTCACGTGCTGGTAGATGACAGAACTAAACCAGACAGGCACAAAGCACTCTGTATGGTCACTGTGGATAGATGTAGCCTCTGCTGGTGTTTTAATATCTCGCCTATCAGCATCACTTCCTCAGCTCCTGACTTCCAACTTTAGGTCACTATCACTAATCACAACAGAGCGGCACCTCCTCCTCTGAATCAGGTGGCCACACTGCCGCCTTGCACATGTGAAAGATACCAAGCCAGGCAGGAAAAACATTCAGGGTTTAGAACGTTTTTTCTCTCCAACTTAAAAATTGTGTTCAAGAAACTAAGTCTATATATGGTTTGACAGGGATCCAAAGGGCTCAGTGGAGACAAAATTTTTAAATTAATGCCTGGGAAGCAGAGGTGCTCTGAACCACCAGAGGCCAAGGCTGCAGTCTCCTCTGCAGGCCTGCTTTTATTTCTATTTCTTCTGCACTTGTTGTTCTTGCAGTTCAAATTTTTAGATTGCATTGTTTCTCCCCTTTGCCTCAATTCCAGTATCTAACACAGTATTGCTGAGTGACCTCAGAGGAAGTCAGCCAGGGGCCTGGCAAGATGAAATTCTCCTAGAGATGTTTTTAATTTTTTTTTTATGGGGGCTAGAGAGATGGCTCAGTGGTTAAGAGCACTTGCTACACTTACAGAGAACCTAGTTTTGGTTCCCAGCACCCACATGGCAGCTAACAACCATCTGTAATGCCAGGGTATCCAATGCCCTCTTCTGGCCTCCATGGGCATTGCACACATGTGGCACACTTATAGCCATGCAGGCAAAACATTCACACACATAAAATAAAAATAAATAAATTTTTAAAAAATTTTATGTTCTCCCAACTCCCACATGACAGCTAACAGTCATCTGTAACTCCAGTTCCAGGGTATCTGATACCCTCTTCTGACCTCCATGGGCATTTCAGGACACAGGTGTTACTCACATACATGGAGGCAATACACTCATACACATAAAATAAAAATAATAAATAAAATATATTTTTTTAATTTATGTTTATGAGTGCCTGCATGTATGTATGTGTACAACATGCATGCCTGGTGCCGGCAGAGGCAAGAAGAGGGTATAGGATCCCTTGGAATGGGAGTTACAGACGCTTGTGAGTAATGGGAACCATGTGGGTGATGGGAACCAAATTCGGTCCTCTGCAAGAATGTCAAGTGCTCTTAACTGCTGAGCCATCTCTCTAGCCCCATTAGATGCTCTTAGAAAGTTTCCTAGGGCTAAGACTATAGCTTAATTGCCAGAGTGCTTGCTTAACATCCACAAGGTCCTGGGTTCAATCCCCAGCACTTCATATAGGTTTGGTGGAACAAACTTATAATCTGAGCACTTGGGAGATAGAGGCAGGAGGATCAGAAGTTCAAGGTCATCCTCAGCTACACAATAAGTTCAAGGCCAGCCTGGACTACATAAGACCCCATCTGAAAAATGTGTTTCCAGCTTGAAGAGAGCCTATTCAGTTTTGTGATGGGAGAGAGTCAAGGGTTCCTTTGAGAAAGTTTTCTAGGGGTAGGGATTCCAAAAATGAGGGTCTTGGTCTTCCTTTTCCTTACTTATTTTATTAGCATGTGTTAATTGTACATAGCAATGGGCTTCTTTATGACATTAATCATATTCATCTCTATCACCTTTCTTGACTCTCTCCCTTTTTGGAGTCTCTGTTTTCAAAGTCCAGCTCACTAAACCTGAGTCTAGTTAGTTTTTCATAGGGGCTTGGTTTGTCTAGTTCTGATGAAGTTGTTTTAACTTTAAGGCAATCCTTTGATACGATGACTTTGAAAACATACAGTCGTTTTCTTGAATGGGAAAAGATATGGTTAAGTCATCTCACTGGTTGTGGAGTAGTTCATAAAGTTTAGACTTAAATTTTTTATTCCATTTGTATATTTCTTGTGTGTATGTACACACGTGTGTGCTCACATGTGTAGGCATATGTGTGGGGGGGTGTCACATGTGTGAAGGTCAAAAACAACTTGAAGGTTTAAGTTCACTCCTCGAAAGACCCATGTGGGGCCTGGAAATTGAACTAAGGTCATCAGGTTTGGTGGCAAGTGCCTTTACCTGCTGAGCCAACTCACTGGACCAAGTTTAGACTCTTGGGCCTCATTTTATTCATCTGAGAAGTGGGTTGAACTAGATGATCACTAAGACCCCTTGTCATTTCATTTTTAAACAAAGAGAATCTTTTATTTGTTTTTAATATTATGCCATAGCTATACTGAATTTTGCTATAAAAGGATAGATTGAATTAAGGTTCACCAACTTCAGTTATTATCTTCATTTCTTTCATTTTTGTTTGGTAATAATAGGAGTAGTAGGAATGGCCAGAGTCCTTCAACAAACAAACTAACCTTTATCTAGTGCCTAATTTGTGCTAGTTCCTATGCTAAGTGCCGTATGTGCACTCCTCCTTGAAAGCTCACAACCTTGAAGACCCTGAGTATTACTTGTAGACACATAGAACTTGGACAGAAAGATACATTTAGTGGCATACCCATAGTCACAGAGCTTGTAAGTTACCAAAGCAAAACTTCATCACAGCTGATGGCTACAAAGATTCTCATTTGTGTCTCCAGGAAGAACTGAACATTATGATTCTAATAAGCAGGCAGGTTTAATGATACGCAGAGCAGGCAATACGTGAAGAAGAATCATCCTTTCCATGGAACACACACGATCACCAGACATGTACTTTACAGCACCCTGAAAGCAGTGGGCGGCAATGGGGGAAAGTTCAGGTGGGGGCAAGAACAGTTACCACTTGGGGGTGGTTATCCAGAACTCCAGTGTTCACAGATCATGAGAAATTTTGTTCCCTTCGGTATACTGTCAGCTCCCCTTTCTGAAGTAGGGCAAGTAGACTGGATTAGTCCTCACTGAAGCCCAGACTCTTTATATGTAAAAGGGAAAAAAGCAATTAAATATTCAGCCTGACTCCTGAGTTTTGAATTACCCCATTTATCTTTTCACTTTGAGCATTTTTCTTGCTTGGTGGCCCTGCCTGCCATTCTCTCTCTCTCTCTCTCTCTCTCTCTCTCTCTCTCTCTCTCTCTCTCTCTCTGCCTATATCTATGTGTCATGTGACTCAGAAGTGAAGATTAGAGGAGAAAAATATCTCTGTATTCTAAGCCTGGCAACTTCTATTTTTATCCACAGCTGTTGGAACTGATAGCAAAGTCACAGCTCACATCCCTGAGTGGCATCGCCCAAAAGAACTTCATGAACATTTTGGAAAAAGTAGTACTGAAAGGTGAGCTCTCTTGTTCTCTCTCACCCCTTTTTATAGGCTTGGGGATGAGCAGGTGGATTTTCTGATTGAGTACTATGTCACTAGATTTAAAGTAACATGAATGGGTGAAAGTGAACAGCTTCAGCTTCATTTCAGGGGTACCAGATTCTAGTTTAGAAAAAGGTGTCACCCATACCCATGGCAAAGAACAAGACCACCACCCTCCTGTCCTTTGTTTAGGATTATGTTTTCCCTGCTTTAAATGCGACTAGCTTCTCAGAACATGCATCCTACTGTTCACTGTGGAGCTTCTAGATTCCTAGGAAATAGAGTCCTGTGCAAGGCTGAATAGAGGCACAGAGTGTTTGAGCTAGAGGAGACCTTAGATGTCTGGCTCAACTGGGTCATTTTACACATGGGGAAACTGAGGCACATGAAAAGTTATTTGCCTGTGGTCACCCAGAGATTCACCAGACAGAATTAGAACTGCTGAACTCCAGGCTTCTGAACCTCAGAACCGCAGTCCTTCCACTGACCATCTAAAAGATGTCACCGCTGAACAAAAGAAGCAGCTTTCTGATCAGGTGGACCACTGGCCCTGGCAGAACAATGGAAAGAGAAAATGGCTCTTTAGAAACCCAGGGAGGAGAGAACAAAGAGGGACCTAGATAGTGGAAACTCTACCTGTTAGCCTGAGTGCAGGAGCTTAGTCAAGTGTAGAATAAACACCAGTGAGAAAAAAACAAATCCTAAGAGGCCAGCAGACAGTGAAGAAGAAAAGGCCACTTGTAACAAGCACAGAGTTTCTATATCATAATGCTGATTTTTTCTTCTTCTTTCCCATTCAAGTTCTTGAAGACCAGCAAAACATTAGACTCATAAGGGAACTACTCCAGACCCTCTACACATCCTTATGTACGCTGGTCCAGAGAGTCGGCAAGTCTGTGCTGGTGGGCAACATTAACATGTGGGTGTATCGAATGGAGACCATACTGCATTGGCAGCAACAACTGAACAGCATCCAGATCACCAGGGTAAGCACAGGCCCCACCCTACACCATCACTTCCTCCACTCAGATGCTGGGCAGTGCTCCAGGACTTAAAAGTCCACCCTGTTGATGGAGAAGCTGGTCCTTTCTGCTTTCATGCCTCATCCTTGTGCTGGGGGTAGGCTGGTGGGGGGCTTCCTGATAAAGGAGAGTAGGATGAAGAATTTGGCAAAACAGGTTCAAAGAATATGAAAGATGAAGCATAATGGAAAAGTGGGGACGTAGCTTTCCAGAGCAGAAAATGCTGGCTGTCCTGCTGAAATCTGCAGTAGGGATCAGAAATCTCTCTGCCCATTTCTTCACAAAGAATGAGCTGTTTACAGCTTTGGGATGCTGTCTTGAATATAACAGAGCCAGGAAGACTGTGGCTTGTAGAACTGGTACCAGCCTTTTGAAATTCTAGTTCCATTTATTGATAGAAATGACAAAGGAAGCCTTTGACTCAAGACTGAACATATGTCTAGGAACATGCTGAGCAACTCTTACTCAAAGCCTGTGTGTTACCAGCGAAGTACAGTAGCTACATATATGGGCCATTTCTTTTGACTTTCAGAACATAACTCACCCTTGGCACTTATTTCCTTAACAGTAAGCAAGAAGACTAAGATACACACAAAATTGTGTGAAAGTTGCTGGCCTAATCTCTCAGTGCTCACTAATGGACAGGCATACTCCGGAAGCTCATACAGCACCTTCCTTACTTATCTAATCACCGACGGTTGGCTAAGTGGCTTTTGGGACCCAGGCTGATAAAGTTGGGCACTGCACCATGTATCAGGAGAAGGTAGCGTGCAGAAAGTCCCGGGACCTCTTCTAAATAACTAACTTGTCATGTGACGTTTTCAAAAAAGCACATTCTTTCCTTTACAGTTAATCACTTCTGTGCCTTGGTTTCTTAAACTCTGAAGCAGAGGGAATAATTAGAAATCTTGAGTTATGTAACTTCATTAGAGTCACTTAGACTACAATGCCCCCACTTGCACATGCCCACATACTCAGGTGGGTGCACACAGATAGGCACATGCTTGCAAACACATACATGCAAAGCCCAAATGCAGGTCATCTTTCAGAAACTATCCTAATTGTTTGACTAAGAAAATGAAGCATTTATTAAGAATTGTAACCTGACTTAATCTAATAATTTGCCCCATTCCCATCTCTGAAGTATAGGCATAGTTTAACAATGTACATTTAAGACTGAAATTCCGTTCTCCTTTAACACGGAAAATTTATATATACTTCTTAACCTGATTTCTAACATTCCCTGTGGCCTGGGACTTAATACTTCCTGCCTTGATCCCAGGAGAAAATTGTCCATCCAGTGATACAAATGAACAAAGTACATTCACTCAAAGAACATCTTTCCTCCGGCAACTTCAGAACACCCACTAAATGGTCTCATTTGCCCAGAGCTTTCTGTTCCCTTTGGCCACCCCAGATGAGCCACCCTTGGCCACATCTCCCATTCCTGCATTTCCACAACCTTACTTCCTCAAAATCCTCCTTAGTTGGTCCCCAAACACTCTTAGTAGTAGCCATTGTAATTGTATTACCTTTCATAGGATGGGGTTCAGGTGGGCCCCAGAAAAGCCCAGTGGTTCTCCCAGCACTACACAGCAATTAGGCTGAACTCTGAGTCAGAAGCCTAGACTAGTTATTCCAAAAATGACCAAGCGTGCTAACATCAGTGGTTTCCGTCTAGCTTTCTTCCAACTAGGATCCAGCTTCTTTTTTAAATCATTTTAATCCAATAAAATGCTATGCAGAAGAGGTCCAACACTGAATTTCATCTCCCTCCCACTGCGTTTGAGGTGCTCCAGCTGAGCCCTACACTTCCGTGTGCACAGGCATCTATCTATTGGCTCACAGCCTCCATATCTACTGAAGCTTTGGTCACACAATCTTCTTCAGAACAGGTCCTGCTCACTAAAATGATCTCATACACACACACACACACACACACACACACACACACACACACATCCACTGGTTTATAAACCCCAAAGAGAAGGACAGTGTCCTCTTCTCTATAACCTGGCACAGGCAGTCAGATTTCAGTTAAAGGATAATGCTTATTTGAAGGGACGCCTCCTCCCACTGCCTGCTGAAGTACTTGTTCAGGGTTCCAAGGAACACAATTGGAAAATTTCATCCTGGATTACGGATGACATTGATAAATTACCAACTCAGGATTTGGGCAAGTTATTCAAGCTCCCCATGCCTTGCTCTCCTCGTCTGGATATCCATCTCATAGCCCTGTATGAGAGTTTACATAGGTATGAGATTTCACAAACTAATCTCCAGAGAGCAGCTGGAACAGTACCTAATAGGTACTAAGTACTGTAAATGTGTCAGATGTTATGATCAAGGGCTTGCCTGTGTACACACTGTAAGCCCTTCCTATGCGTTAACTAATCAAGTGAATAGTTATAATTAGGATAAATAGCTGAAATTGACTGAGCTGTGCTAAGTGCATCTATCCATTATCTCTTCTGCCCAGAAACACTGTAAGATATGCCTTTCCTCTTTTTGTAAATGAGAAAAATCAACCTCAGTATCCACAAAGGGATAGATTCCAGGACACCCAGAAGATACCAGTAGATATCATGGATGCTCAGGTTCCTTGTATACAATGGCGCAGTGACTATATATGCCCTCCCCACACCCTCCTCTGCACTGCAAATCATCTGTAGCACACTTCTAATACATACTAGACTGCTGTATACATAGGTCATGAGGACAAGAAAAAGCCTGTACATTTTCAATACAGATGCATTTTTCTGAGTATTTTCAATCTGCAGTTGGTTGTGTCCAAGGATGCAAGAACATGGAGGGCAGAGTATAGTTTCCCTAGGGCCTCTACACCAGTAGCATCTGGCACAGAGACTCCAACACGGGCTGTCTGCAGAGACTGCACTTTTAACCATGCTCTCTTCTCCATTCTGTCCTCTGCCCGGAACCCATCAGGGCTGTGATCTGTATTCTGAGAGTTGTACTGAACCCCATGAACCAGAAGACCTTTCCACATAAATTCCCAGCTCTGAAGAGGCACGGTGGCTCAGGCCTGTAATCCCAGCACTTGAGAAGTAGAGGTAGAACAAGTTCAGGGTCGACCTTAGCCACATGAGTTTGAGGCCAGCCTGGGCTATATCAGATCCTGAAGAAAGGGAAGGGAGGAAGGAGGAGGGGGGAAGGGGGAAGGGAGGGGGGAAGGAGGGAAAGAGGCAGGAGGGAGAGAAAGGGAGAGAGAGAGAGAGAGATATGAGTACACTAATTGCTTCAGTCTGGACTCTATTTTATATTTGTCTGAAAGGGAAGCATGTTATTCCATGAAAATATTAAGGTGACTTTCATAATAAATGCTTTCTATTTGCCAAAGTTCTGTCAGTATCATCCCAGCATATAATCTTGTTTGCCTTCAAAATCTTCATATCTAACTCTTTGGAGCCAATTTTTATTGGCAAATGTGATTCATATAATAAAGGATGAAGGACAAAATTAAGAGAACTGGTTTGTAGGGGAAAATAAAATATAATTATAGTGCTGTAGACAAGGCAGTGTTTTGGAAGGGGGGGCAAACAAAGGGATTTCAGCCAAATGCTTGACTAGAGCCGCCAGAGTGACGTATTTTTCTTTTATATGTTTATATTCGAAAAAGAAGCAGGCATGCAAGCAGTTAACCATCTATCAGAAGTAAGGGCTTGGCATGAAGTCTGGGCAAGGATTTTGGAAAAGTTCAGGTTTGAAAATTTAACAGAGAACTCTGCCAAGCAAACTTGCCTTTAATAGGAGTTAATGTAATAATTGGCCTGGGAGTTTTAACCAAAAAAGTAGAGGCTTTGAAGTGCTGGAAACAAAGAGAAAATCCCATGGCAGTTTTATTAGCTCATATGATCAACAGCAGATGATAAACGGCAAATAGGTTTAGGGCCTTCTGCGGTCGTACAAAGTCCTGAATGTTGCAAATGAAAGTTCAGCCCAATGGCCTGGGGTAGAAGCGAACAATGAAAATTGACGCTTCTGATGAAACAGGAGGCCTGAGTCACTGCAAATCCAAGATCCTTACAGCTGGAGGGATCTCCAGTATTGTAAACAAAGTCATTTGAGACCTGGGGAAACTGAGGCCCAGATTTCCCTAGGATGCTTGTCTAGCATTCAGATCTACTGCTTGCCCATTCTATGTTCTTCCCAGGCCTCATTCACTCTTCCCAACAATCCCTGCTTCTTAAGGCCCCTTGCTATTGACCACCTTCTCACTAGTACCTGTCCTGCCTGGCAGGGGACATAGGCAATAGCTAAGACCAAATGACACTTGGAATCCCAGTAAGGCTGGTACCAAGTGACCCCTGGAGTCTCCCATATTGCTGGGCTTTGTTGTGCTTCCTATAGTTTCTTCCCCTAAATAATTCCTATTCCCAGGGTATTTTCCCCTGAGCAATTCAGCACCAGGCCATAGTAAGCACTAAGGGCTGTTTGTGCTGAGCAAGTCTTCAGGGTGTACAAGTTGGGTCCTGCCTTCAAGGATGTAGGTCTAGATGTGATTTCTTGAGCTTATTAAAATTTAAAATGAGATAATGCTCAAATATAAGCTCAGGGAGGTAGTCAACATTCCTCCAGAAGCTCGTGATTAATTGCAAGTATGCCATCCCCAAATGCGCAATTTTTAAAATGTTCCATGGGCCCCAGCTTAAGTTCTGAAAGGAATGTTCCATTCAGGGTTTCTTTGAGAAAGGTTGGTGCTACGTAGCAGAAAAGGGGGTGTTACAGACAGACTCTGAAAGAAATTATAGGAGTTCTAGGGAAGTGTAATGAATGTAGCCTAAGGGAGATAGATGCATAAGCACAAAAGGTGATCAAAGGAAAAGGATTTGAAAGGGGTCTGAGGGGCAAGAGAGAGCCAGAAGGATGAGGGCATTGCACACATGTAGAGAAGGTGTGTTTGGGTGCCAGTGGAAAGCTCTGAGGTCTCACAGAGGGCAGGGAGATGGGAGGCCAGGTGTCAGCCTGGGGCACTCTATTCAGGACTTCAACACTTTGAGAAGGTGGTGAGTCTCACATTTTGAATGGTGAAGAGAATGAAGCTCAAAAAGTCACCATGTTGCCATGCTCCAAGGGATGGTCCCATACCCACACACATATGGGCAGCACTAACTGGATGCAGTGGATTATGGAAAAAAGACAAAGTTGGGAGGAGGTCATGTTGATGAGGATATAGGAGGAGGTGGAGGAGGGAAATTCGTGAGGATATCATCATGTTTCTTTGTACATACACAATGAAATTATATGAAATTCTCAAGAATAAAGAAAAATTATAATTTTAAAAGAATCCAACATAGACTGTTTGGAAAATCAAAAGTTTGCAAACAGGGAAAGCCTGCTGACACTCCAGGCTGTTCTCTAGGAGGCCCAGCCATGATCCTGCTTCTGTAGGTTGGACAGTGAGCATTTCTGCTTTTGGTATCTGGTTGATGAGCCAGCTTGAGAGTGGAGGACCAGGGGCAGTGGCAGTCTTGGAGGGCATCACCTGGAGAATGGCTCTTCTCTGACACCCGGCTTATCATCATCTTCTCCCTGCAGCCTGCCTTCAAAGGCCTCACTTTCACGGACCTGCCTTTATGCTTACAACTGAACATCATGCAGCGGCTGAGCGATGGGCGTGACCTGGTCAGCCTGGGCCAGGCAGCACCGGACCTGCATGTGCTGAGTGAAGACCGGCTGCTGTGGAAGAAACTGTGCCAGTACCACTTCTCAGAGCGGCAGGTCAGTGGGGCCCATGGCCCACATCACAGCACTCCTGTTCTGCCCCTACCCTAAAACCTATCCTTCTCAAGCGAGAAGAGGGGCTACAATCACTAGGAAGGCATCAAGAGCCACCTGTTTCTTACAAAGGCTGGTTAAAAGCTACTGAGTAAGTTGGGAGAGCTAAGAGAGCACTGTTTTACATCTTGATCACTTTTCTCCCTGCATATTACAGGGTCCATGAAAAAATGTAGGGAGAAAAAGTGACAGAACTTTTAAGAAAGAGAAAACCCCAAACTATCCTCTTGGTGAAGAATTCTTCTGAAATTACTCTCCTTCATCTGATTTTTAGATCCGCAAGCGATTAATCTTGTCAGACAAAGGACAGCTGGATTGGAAGAAGATGTATTTTAAGCTTGTACGCTGTTACCCAAGGAAAGAGCAGTATGGGGACACTCTGCAGCTTTGCAAACACTGCCACATTCTCTCCTGGAAGGTATGTGTCTCAGAGGCGGCTGCCAAAGACCTGAGCCAGGCCCTAAGAGCCAACAATACCAGCAGTGTGAAAACAGTCATTTGCTGTTCTATCTCAGCCCGATACCCATGGGGAGGGTAAAACTGACTCAGTGCCTGGGCAGAGAAGAGAGACTCAAAGACCTTCATTTCCTTTACCCCTTTATATTAATTTGTCTTTGTAACCCATTCACCCCCATACTCTCCTAGCTTTGTGTGCATAGATGCAGATATACATATATGTATATATAAAACACTAATTCTTCAGTGTTTCTAGTGTTGCAGCATTATTTCTTGGTGTATTGATATGTTTGTATATGTACATGTATGCACATGCATTAGCATGGAGGACAGATGTCACCGTCTCATGTCTTCCTCAATCACGCTCCACCTTTTTTTTAGATACAGAATCTTTCACTAAACCTAGAGCTCACCAATTTGGCCAGACTGGCTGACCAGTGAGCTCCAGGGATCTGTCTCTGCCCTCACCTCCAGTGCTAGGGTTACAAGATGATGCCTCCATGCCCAACTTTTATGTGGGTGCTGGGATCCTCCAAACTCAGGTCCTCATGCTCACACAGCAAGCACTTTACCCACTGAACCCTCTCTGTAGCCCCTATTTCAGAAATAATTCTTTTTGAAAAATGTATTTGTAATTATGTATATACCTGTGTATCTGTGTCTGGGTATATGCATATGAGTACAGTGCCTGCAGAATGCAGAAGAGGGCATCATATTCCCTGGAACTGGAGTCACAGGTGGTTGTGAGCCACCCACAGTGAGTGCCAAGAACCAAACTTGGGTCCTCTGCAAGAGCAGTATGTGCTTTTAACCACAGCCATCTCTCCAGCCCTTACAGTGACATTCTTGACAGAGAACTGTTTTGAGGTTGGGCAGTGTCTTACAGTGCCTCTGAGAACTCAGTTCTAACAATAGCACTTTTTGCAGGGTACTGACCATCCGTGCACAGCCAACAACCCAGAGAGCTGCTCCATTTCACTTTCACCCCAGGACTTTATCAACTTATTCAAGTTCTGAATCCCAGCACATGACAACACTTCATAAGGCCCCCTGCTGATTGGATGGCTGGAAGTTTGGACACTTCGTTTGTAAATAGTGTACATTTTAAATATTGGCTTGAAACTTCTGAGATAAGTCACTGAGAGAGAGGATGTTGGAGGGGAGAGATGCAGTTGCCAATGGGAATTTACAAATGTGAACTTTGAATTAGAACTGGTACAGAAAGCAGAAATACTGTAGATAGACTTTTCTCCCCCAACAATTTTCCAGCAAGACTATAAGGGCAAGAATTCTATGTCAGCTGTGAAAGTGGAATTCTCTTGATGTTCGTGGAAACTCCTTTATAGTTCCCTAGGAAGAAAAAGGCAAAACTCAAATACAAGATAGAATGCTCTTTGTTTACAATGTGAAATTTCTGTTAAGACAAAAATAAGGAAGAAAGAAAAAAGGGATGCTACGTGTGAGAAATCCTCGGGCTTTTTGGGTTGGATTTGGGGTTTGTTTTGAAAAGGCAAAGAAGTACCATCCTTCTGAAATCTCCATGGGCATAAGGCCTTATCCTATGAAGATGCCATACAATGGTCTACCTCTCAAAGAACAGAGCGCTCTCTGACAACATACATTATCTAGCAGGCAATGTCTGTGTTTCGTGTAAGTTTTTTTCATCTGTAAAGTGATTTAAGATGGGAAGGATGATGGAAGAAAACTTTATGGGTTCTGAGTTCCTTTTTAGGCAAATAGAGTCCCCTTTGGAGTTCCCTCTTTCCTCAAAGTACCTGTGCCTTTATCTTTCATATCATAGCTCATTTAGGGAAACAGAAGGCCAATTTAAGAGCAGTCCCAGGAGTCATGAAAAGATAGAATTAGACACCTTGTAGATGTGAAGACTTCACTCTTCCAGCATGGCTTCCCTCTTCTGGCTTAACTTCCAAGCTTGTCCAGCTTCCGTGGGTATCTTCATGGAAAAGCAAATGTCTGTAAACTGATTGGCACCCAAGTGCTAAGGCTGGAGAGAGAAATTTTTCACACCAGCCAGTTAAACATTTTGCCAGCTGCTGCTCTGTCAGGGGGAGGGGGTAATGAACTGAGGCACTTTGTTTTCTTTAGGTCCAACATCAAACTTGAGTCTTCTTGAGCTGGGACATTTTGCAAGCATGATTTAAAATAAAGCCTGGGGTCCAAGCCAAATAGAGGGAAGATTCATCTTAAGCTTGCTTCAAAGCTGGATAGTTAAAATGAGGAGAGTTAGAGATCCCAGGCAAATATGAGCAAGTCACTGTGGAAGAAAGGAAATCTCAGGACTTAAGGAGTTAACTGTCAGATATTCCTGGGGTGGGGGGAATGTTTTTATTTTTTACTTTTTATAGAATGTTGCTTTTCTACAATGTACATATATTTGCAGTTATATTTGCTTTTTTATTTCAAAATAAAATTGCCACCCTGCATGCCCTTGGCAAATAAGCAGAAATAGGAATTTGGCCCACATACATGTTAAGGGAGAGAATAACCAGAAGCATTGATGCTCAGGATGGGTGATCCCTGAAGGAGGGGAAAGATGGCTGAGCAAGGACAGAAACAAGGCAAGGGACAGCTAGTGACTCAACACCTCTTCCTTCAGTACAACCTGTGGGTCAGCTCCTCAGAGGGCAGAGTCTGCAGTGTTCCCTCTGCTGTGTTGTGCTTGCACCAGAAGTTCTCAGTAGTTCTGTCTTCATCATCATCCCCCTGAGGGAGGGGGAGGGCTTGACCTGACTTTAAGCTTTCATAATGAGAAAAAATGAAATGTGAAAGAAGATTCTGATGTATAAAGTTGAACTTTGGAGGACTACAAACATCGTCACAGCTAAGGGTTTTCTGTTTGAGATTTTTTTGTGTGTTTTTGTTTTGTTTTGTTTGTCTTTTAGCTCATCTCCCCAGAATCAATTTTACATGAAGACTGCAGGGCCTAGACTGTTGAATAAAAAGCCACCTGTCTCATAATTTTCAGATTCTCTTAAATATCTCACTTTCCTTAAAGGGGTGAGGTGGGGGCTGGATCTGCCATTGCTATGAAAAGTTCTAGAAACTTTGACTCTGAGTGACATTTATTTTGTTGTTGTTTTGAGACAAGATCTCCCTGAAGCCCCCACTGGCCTGGAACTCACCATGTAGTCCAGGATGGCTTTGATTTCAGGGAGATCCGCCTGTGTGTGTGCATATCTCCTGAGTGCTGGCTGAGATTTAATGTGCTCGCCACCACACCCAGCTCTGAGTGACACTTTTAGGGTTAGGGCTCATGGCCTTTCACATCTTCTCACCAACTTGCCACCTCTGCTCTGTCTTGCTGTTCATAGGGATGGAAAGCCATTGGTACTTTGGGATTTACAGTTCCAGAAACTTCACCTGGTTTGGACTGTCAGCGTAAAACTAATGAACCAGTCTCATAAAGAATGTTATCAGTACACAAAGTCATACATCATACCCCAGGCAACAACTTGTGTGTGTATAAAATGACTCCTACCCCCAAGCAATAAGCCTGCAGATTCTCCATGACCCTTGGTGTGATTAGTTGTGGTGTGTAACACAAAGAAAGTTTTTAAGGATGAAAAAGAAGAAATGAACATTTATGGGTCTCTTTCATTGAGAATAGAAAATAGGAAAGGAGTGGTAGGTGAAGAGGGAATGGGAGAGGAATAGAGATGGTGTATGCTTGATGCTGTGGTATGGGGACGTGGAGGGAGAAGAACAGGCAAGATAGCCATATCAGGCCATGGCCAGAACCCCACAAGGAAAGGAGTGAAAAAGGAAATTCTTGCTCCTAGACACTACTAATCTGTAGAATTCCTCTTGCCAGACACACCCAGAACTCCCAGACCTAAAACACAAAAACTAAGAATCCCTGTCTCAGAACTGATACAAAAGCAAGAGGAACATAACGATAGAAATTTTTTGCTGGAAGGGAGGGGATGCTGTTCCATTTATTGTATCAACCCACCCTAGCTTGCACCTTGTAAAGCAGAACTAGAAACTGATATCCATTATGAAGTAATTCAGATGTCTAGAAAGAAAAGAGTTCTGTCCAAGCCACATGAGCAAATCTAGGGAATTGGTAACTCAAGGGTTCAAGGGCAGTCAGCCTAGAGTCTCTTGAGAGGATATACCATCCCTTGTAGAATTATATATACATATATATGAAGATTAAGAGTACCCATTTTATAGCAAGAGCTAATAAAAGAAAAATAAACCAAATGACATTTTCAACTAGATCATGCCATTACTGAACACTGTTACTTCGAGCAGGTGAATCAGTTGAATGGGAGGGAGGGACAGCATCAAGGAACCAGGACTACAAGGTAGAGCCTCCAGTATATGTGATATGAAAAGGTATTAGTGATGATCAATTTCACATTGAAGTGGCTTGGAGGAGATATGTTTTTAAGGGACAAGAGTTACATTGCAAAAGCTCTCAACATAGGAGCAGGTCTGTTTGTGACAGAAGCAAGGTGGTGAGTGTGTATTTTGTTATTATCACAATGCTCAGTCTTGTGTCCTCAAAAACCCTTTCCCATAAGAAGCTTGTTGCTAATACAGGCTCCTTGTTTCTGTTACTTTTATATGGAAGAAGAGAAAGGGTTTGGAATTTTATTTGTCTAAGCAAGTGATACAAGTCAGAAAGAGGTAAATCAGTGCAGGAGCTGTTCAGCTGTGTATGGTTCTCAGCATTCAGCACAATGTTTATTATAAAACATGCACCTGGGTTTATAATTTTTGCCAGACTGTGGGCAATAACATCTTGCTATGCAAACACTATATTTTATGTGTGAAATTTTTAACTGTAATTTTATGTGTGCATTTTTAAACTAAACATCATTATTTTCTATGTTGATCTGTGCAT